AGAGATGGGCAATAAATGCTGCCTAGCCAGCAATGCTCTCATCCCATGAATGAATAAATTAAAAAAGAGTGTGGTGCCAGTTTCTGAGCTGGTGCTTGTGAGCGTGATGGTGTACCTTCAGGGAGGCTGGCTTTAATTGGCAGAAGTATTTCCAACTTTTCATCAACTGCTTTAAAATATCATGACAATATTTAGATTTTAATCTGAAGGGAGAGAAGAGAAAGAGACAAAGTTATTGAAAGCATCGGTTATGTTACTTTATTTGCCTTAGATGTAAACAATAATAATACACAAGGGTTGTGAAACAATAATGTGTGTTCTTCATTTGAAGATAAGATTATTTACATACATTGTTTACTAGGAGACAAGGTAGAGTATATCTGAACGCTAGCAGATGAAGTTTAGCGGTTAAATATGAGATTATTTTGGTCGGAAGAATACAAAGACAACTATACTCTGGCGTTTAGAAGAATGAGAGGATATCTGAGGTACAGAAGATGCTAAAGGTGATTGACATGGTGGATGTTGAAAGGCTGTTTCCTCTTTAGAATGAAAGCTCATCATTTTAGAATAAGCAGTAGCAGATTTAAAACAGAGATGATGAGAAATTGCTCTTCTCAAAGGGCCATGAAGGAGTGAAATGTGGCACATTGAGTAAATTTAAGGAGGAGATAGATTTTTAATGAGTAATGGTTTGAAGGGTTATGGAGAGTAGGCTGGAAAGTGGATTTGAGGCTGAGGTGACATCAGCCAGTATTGACTGGAAGAGCAGACATGAGGGACTGAATTGCCCATTCCTACTCCCATGTGTTATATCCTCATGTTCTCTCATGGCTGCTTGACAAACTGCATAACAAATCATGGGTTAACATATCACATCCTGTTGGGGAACATAATGATTGACAACAGTTGAAGATACATTCCCCTAGAAGTATATGCTTTTTCACCAAGAGGATGGTGGGAATCTGGAACTCACTGCCTGTAAGGCTGCTAGAGGCAGAAACCCTCACAACATTTAAGAAGCATTTTGACATGCCTTTGTGATGCCAAAGTATGCAAGGCTAAGGCCAAGTGCTGGAAAATGGGATTAGAATCGTTAGGTAGTTGTTTTTGACCAGTGCAGATATAATGGGCTGAAATTCCTTTTCTACGCTGTAGATCTCCATGGCTATGATTCTATGTTGCTGAGAGTCGTATGCAGTGTTTCAAGATTGTGCCTGTTATGATGACATAGCTGGCATACAATGTTTAAGATGTGAAGTGTGGGAACGGAGATTTGGAATAGTAATGTGGATTGGAGGAATATTCCCGAATGTCACAGATTGTAATGGTTCAGAAGGTGGGACAGTGAACTGTGGAGCAGTAATTGTGGGAGAGTGAAGGGACTCTGGGAAGGGGGCTATTGTGCATAGTTAATATTGGAAACAATGGGGATTTGAATAGAGCATGTTATAATTTGACAATTTTAGTGGACTCATCAAACTTCCTGCAACTCTTCACTCATGTGCTTGGAGCTAAGATTTTGGCTTTAACTTTGCAAATGTTTTTCTCACCGTTAATGAAGGTAATGCCTGAAGGCATTCTGGCACAGTAATTCAGGCCTCTGGTGCAAAGTGTGTACCAGAGTCTCCAAAGCAGCATTCAGGGATTACCTGCAGTCTTGCAGTCAATATTCTCTCTAGAAGCTTTCTGTACACCCTAGAATATTTTTTTCCTTTATGGTTGACTTTAAGCTGTATTACTGAAGAGGCACATTGTCACTGAGTACCCCAGCTATCATTAAGTATTAACCTGGCTCACAGTAATCAGTACGGAGAATAAATATTCTTGTCAATAAAACCAGATACGTGAAGTGCAACTGACCCTTTCCCTTCGTACCGATTTTTCTGTGCACTTGAATATCTGGCATGTCTTTTTTTTAATATAACAATTACATACAATAAAACCAACTGCTTCCATTGAGGAAATCTATATGTATTGCTGTGGAGTATAAGGAGTTTTTTTTTACTGTTGCTGTGTAATTTCATCATCTGCACAACTTCAATCTGATCTGTGAGTTGATCCAATTGAATTTTTACAGCTTCTGTTTGGCTGGAAAGCTAGCCTTTGGAGTCTGTTCCAGGTGTTCGCAGTCCACATTTTTTTAATAAAGCAACTTGTTCTCACCTGCAATATGGATGGCAGAATTCTAAAGGAGGAAGGAGAAAACAAAAACTTGTAACAAGAATTTGACGCATCTAAAAGAATAAGTGGCTGTATTTGGATAAAATGTACAATATAGAAGCAGGTTAACAACTGGCCCGTGGTCATATTTCTATCCCACTTTGCTTCATATACTTCTATCATATTTCCCTTCTGTTCCCTTTCTGTTTCATGCGTTTAAGTTTATTTATGCTATGAGACTATAAAAACCCAGGAAACAGGAGCAGGAGAAGACCATTCAATCCTTTGAATCGACTCTGTCGTTCAATGAAATCATGGTTGATCTTTCACTTCAAAACCATTTTCCTGCACAATGCTCATATCTCTTGATGTTTTTAAAATGTAGAAATTTATCAATCTCAGTCTTGATCACACTCAATAACTGAGCCTTCACAGTCCTCTACAGCAGGAAATTCACACACTCAATCATTCAGCTCTACTAATGAGTGTGGGCAGGTTCTACCTTGCCACATGCTTTGGATAAAGCAATTTCTCCTTTGTTGGATTTATGAGACTCAATCTGATCGAATAAGTTGACAATTGATGAGGAAGAATATGTGAATAGAAGAAATGTGAGTAAAAGTCAAACTTTTCTGTTTTTAACATATTTTTATTTGCATGTTAGCATCAGTACCATCATGTCACTGACAATAGGTAATCATGATAACCAATCCTTATATCGGAATTTGCCTAAACATAAGAATGTCATTAGCGGAGGTGTGAACAACTGGGTGACCTGTGCAGTAATTGTGGAATATATCTAGATGTTACCAATGGCCCAGAATTTGCTGACAAAGTAATGGCAAGTTTACAATTCCAGTCAATATTAGTGTCTGAAAATCTAGCAACTTGTAATAAGGAAAAGATACAATTCGTGACAAATTTGAACAGCATGTCCTGCTCCACTGAACAATTACCATCTTGCTTTAGATGTTTCTATTGTATATCACAAAATTTTAGGATTTGTAGTTTAAAAACATTGTAATCTCGCAGCAGGCATTTAAGGCTGACAGTTCACATCAGCCTGTTAATGATGGGATTTGTGGTCCTGACATGAAACATGGATACCAGAAACAGTACAATAAAATTATGAATCATTTCTGCAGGTAATAGAAAAATTTGAACAAAGAATAAGAGTGGGCCATTCAGCCCTTCAAACCTGCTCCACCATTCAACAAGATCACGATTGATCTGATTTTAACCTCAATTCTACATTCCTGCATCTCCCAATAATCCTTCATCCCTTGGTAATCAAGAATCTTATCTATCTGCCTTAAAAATATTTAAAGATTCTGCAAAAAAAATCTTCTCAAGGAAGGCAAATTGTTAAATTATTCCTAGAGTTATGTCAATATTAATGTTTAAATTTTATATCAGTAAGAAATTAATTCAGGTCACTTTTCCTTTGTCTGCACTTCTCATTGTACTCCTGGTTCACACAATTACCTCACCATCATTCAACATGTTTCTTTAGTTTAAATTTAATTGATTGACGAGAAAGACTATTGGTCCCATCATTTACCAAGATGCCAGATGCCCAATTGGCCATGCTGCAAAGTTATCGACTTGTACTTCTAACAAAGAGCAGCACAAAAAAAAATTGAAGTTCAAAAAAAAGCAAAGAAATTCCTGACTCTAACCATGAATTGGCTGCAGTTTCTGGACCACTGTAAAACTGTTCAGTTCTATTTCCATTTAAAATTTTGACAAATTTTTATTTGCATGTTAGCATCAGCACCATCATGTAGGTAATCACAGAAACTGGACAAAACTCATTCTTTATGATCAATACTAATTTTCTATGATAGTTTGAAAATTATTTTCACACATTTTTGATACACGTTTTTATTGAAAATTTTTTTTAAAAGTTCATATTGTATGAATAGAATCTGACATCTAGAGGTGCAACTAATGTACAACTGGCAGAATCATATATCATCTGGAATCTGATCTTACGTCGTTCGATTTAAGATGCAAATAAAATGAAAACATTTTAAGACTAAATTCATGTTAAATAGTTGTGATGAGTTTGTGTTTGAGATTAACATATTTTATTGTGCAATTTTAAATGTTACATTTCTGCAACAGAAATTAGATTTTGCCATCTGTTGGAATCAGCATTACATCTTCAAAGTGTGTGAAATAATATGAAAATTCATTAATATTAATGTGCTCAGAGGACAAAAAGATGCCTTTGTCGACTTTAAAATGTGGGGAAGTGCAAATAGATGACTAAGCATCACATTTACTTGGAAATAAAACATTACCATCAATCATCACTTCAAGTTTACTAATTCACACTTTTGTATAAAATGATAAAAGCTTTTGTAGAAAGGCCATATATACATGTAAAACACAATTCATTATTTGTAAAGAAGTATGTTGTGAAATAATAGCGTTGACAGTTGCTTTCCTTTGCCCAGTTGTAAATATAATCCCGGTTCTAGCTTTTACAATGTGTTATGTTTTAGATGTTGACAGTGTGAAAGTAAGCACTTGTGATCGTCAGCCAATCCCTTTGTAGGGGCTGTTCTTGATGAATAAATATATTTATAGGAGATTTCTAAGAATAGTGAAGAGAGATGAAGGGAATTGAAATGATACAGGATAATAAAGATCCCTTTCAATGGCTGACAATTTGAAACCAGTTCAACATATGACTGCAAACTATATTATAGACAAACAAACCTTATTAGTATTTGTAGATTCAACTTTCCGTCAGGTAATGATCAAAGAAGTCAACAGAAATCCAGCAATGTGGATTTCATATCACAACCTTCACAAATCTGGATGCCAAGATGAGTGATGGAGCAGAAATTGATGTATTGATAACGACAGAAATGATTCATCTATTGAAGGCTTATACTTCAGATTCCAAGTCCTCTCATGGCAGATTCAGCACAGCATCTTTGAAGTCTACATTCACGCCAGCAAAAGAGGACAGTGAGGATTGGGGATACAACCTGGTAGTATACCTGGCTATCTTCCTATTTTTGCTGCTTTTGCTGGTTTTATTTCTTTTTATGGTCATCAAACAGCTGAAGAATTCAGTAGCAGCTGTTGTGTGGCAGCCTAATCGCTCCGTTAGAGAACCCTGGAGTGCACATAGAGAGCAGGCTGTCTAGAAACAAGCTGAATTATCTACCACAGTTATCCACAGGTTTTCCAGCAGTGACAGGTAATGTAAATTGATTTTAAAAATGCATTTTTTTCTGTGTTCTCCAGAGTCAATGTGTTATATAGTATGGCTGTACATCAGGTTCTTACAATAATACAATATTATACACGTGTGAATACTGTAGAAGGTAAATTTACTCAATACTGACAGCAAGTCACCGGCAGATTATTAAAGTGATGAAAACATTGCACGCGCTAAGGTCTCCATGTCTCTGATGGGAGCGTGCACATAATTTTAATGGTTTAAATTTAAAGAAGCTAAAGAAAAGAAAGAATTGTTTACAAGATCATTGTGTTTTAAACCTTAGACTATATTGCTGCCATGGGCATTGATACAATAGTACAAAGAGAATTAAAAGTGACATAACACTACACGTAAAATGATCTGAGCCTGGATCCAACTAAATTCATCAAAATATTATGAAGCGGAAACATAATTAAAAGAACATATTTCTTTTATTCTTCTAGCAATCCTTTTATTATGACACAGGCACTGTGAGAATGTCACCAAGAAAAAAACTAGTTCATCTTTTTAGTAATTGTTTAGTTGGAAGCAAAAGGACATTTAAGCCTTGGATTGTCATCAGGTCTAGCCATAGTGCATACAAAATAGATTTTCTAGGTTTTATTTATCTGTCATTAGAGATTCTGACAACCATATTGCACCTAAATATGTGGTATAATTAGTATTTAGCACCATGGTTAAAAAAGACGCATTTTGTTGAAGCAATAAATGTGACTTTTTCAGCAATACGCAAGATCTGTATGATCAAATAAATATTTAGTAACTTATTGTACTGAAATTTCCAAAGAGCTACTCCAGAAATATGATGGAAACTGTGATTACAGCAACATCTACATCAACTTATAATTATGTAGCATCACTAATGTAATGAAACTTCCCATGTTGTTTTCCAGGAGGTCTATAGAACAAAGTACAATATTGGGCCACATTAGGAGATATTGGGCCAGATTTCTGGGGAATCAGGATAAAATGGCAGGCAGGACCTGATTCCAGGATTCCTGCCCCTGTTTGTGGCACCAGCATTTTCACTGGCACAAAATAGGGTGTGTGTAGTGAGCCTGCACCCAGCACTCCCAACCTGGCCAATTTCATTGGTGGGTTTGGCATCGCCTAGCTCTTCATAATCTCCATGAGGTAGAACCATGCCTCATGCATTGTGACCCCTCAGAGAAGTTGTGAACCATAGTCTGAATTTGGGGATCTTATGAAAAGTATGTTTAAATGGGTCTTCTATTTGCCCCACAGCCATTACTCATGGCCCCTCCTCAGGCCAACTCAATCCCACTCATTGACGGTTAGACAGAAAGAGAGAAAGAGCGAGAGAAAGCAGCTTCCAATACCCTTGCTGTTATCAATTCATACTGCCTTCTCCCTCTTTTTGCTCAAAGGCTGCTGTCCCCTTTGTGGATTCTGATGTTGGTGTCATTATTTCATTTCAAGCTTTCACCTCTGAGTATGTGCAGCTCTCATGCAAGTTTGAGTAGAATAAGAGATATAAGTTCCTTGGTACCTCACTGAGTTTCAGTATCTCTTGATTAAATCAATCCGGAAAAATGCAAGGTGATGCATTTTGGAAGATCTAATGCAGGAGGGAAGTATACAGTAAATGGCAGAACCCTTAGAAGCATCAACATACAGAGGGATCTAGGCATACAGTCCACAGTTCCCTGAAAGTGGCAACACAGGTGGATAAGGTGTCAAGAAGACATACGGCATGCTTGCATTCATCGGTCGGGGCATTGAAGATAAAAATTATCAAGTCATGTTGCAGCTGTATAAAACTTTAGTTATGCCACCTTTGAAATATTGCATGCAGTTCTGGCCACCACACTACCAGGAGGATGTGGAGGCTTTGGAAAGGGTTCAGAAACAATTTACCAGGATGCTGAGATAACAAGGTGTAGAGCTGGATGAACACAGCAGGCCAACCAGCATCAGAGGAGCAGGAAAGCTGACATTTTGGGTCTGGATCCTTCTTCAGAAGATGCTGCCTGGTTTGGAGGATCATGATGTGGAGGTGCCAGCATTGGACTGGGGTGGACAAAGTCAGAAGTCACACGACACCAGGTCATAGTCCAACAGGTTTATTTGAAATCACAAGCTTTCAAAACTCTGCTCCTTTGTCAGGTGAAGTTTGAAGGGTATTAGCTTTGAGGAGAGATTGGACAAACTTGACTTATTTTCATTTGAATATCAGAGGCTGAGAGGTGATCTGATAGTTTACAAAATTATGAGAGGCATGGACAGTATGGATAGTCAGAGAATTTTTCCAAGTGTAGAAATGTGACTAATTAGGGGACGTTGATTTAAGGTAAAAGGGGGTAAGTTTGAAGGAGATGTGAGAGACAAGTTTTTTTTTTAACAGAGGGTGGTACGAGCCTGGAATGCACTGCCAGAGGAGGCAGTAAAAGCAGATACGATAACAATGTTTAAGAATCATCTTGACAGATATATGAATAGGCAGGGAATAGAGGGATACAAACCACATAGAGGCAAAAAGTTTTTAGTATAGAATGGCATCATGTGTCAACGCAGGCTTGGTAGGCCAAAGGACCCGTTCCTGTGCCGTACTTTTTTTTGTTCTTTGAATATTGACAATCCATTTTCACTACAATTGTTACAATCTGTGTACATATGGAGTATGTGCCTGTGCATTTATGTGTGCATCCATGTGAGAGACCACAGGATCAAGCTTAGCTTGCTAACAAATGATAATGGACATCTACTGAAATAGTGGAGAATCCTCACTGTCATACTTAGTTCTGTCAGGTCTCATTGCTCTCAGGAAAGAAATAATTGGAAATTGAGAAGTATAGAAACAAAGTGGTAATTTGCTTCCCTGGTTGGAAGGGCAAAATACAGGATATAAAGTCTGAAGGCCATTTAGAATAGTTTGATCTGTACTAGTAAGTGAAATTGAATACATCTATATAGACTTTGTGAGTATACACCATATCGAATGTGCCTAATGTTTGTTATGGTGCATGGCCCCTCCTTCTCAGCAGCTCACTGAAAACTTAACAGACTGTGTCAAACTGAGGGTATCAGATTATAATGGAAACAAGTGAGTGTCACGACAAAAAAAACCTAACAATTGATACCCCGACAGAAAATCTGCTGTTGCATACAATAAATAATACGCTGGTTATGATTCACTCATCAATCTCTATGTAATTACATAAATCTTCTAATTATTACTAATATGGATTTTCATTCTGGCATTTCCTACAAGTAATACGTGTTTTGCTTTGGAATTTTGTCCTGACAGCAGAAACTTTCTTGTATTTTAAGAGTTTGTAAGCGATTATGGAGTATATGTTTTCTCATGAAAACTGGAACAATTGATTCAAAACAGCCCACAGTAGGAGTCATTGTTGTTCATTGAAAAATTAGTATAACAGGTATGGGGATAATGGAATGGCTCAGAATTCTTCTTAATTTCTCCCAATGCACCATGTGATACGTGGTTTATTGTGCAAAGGCTTAGGGATCCTGGAGCAACCTTGTGGTGAGTCATAGTCATAGAGATGTGAAGAGCAGAAAAAGGTCCTTTCGCCCCTTGCATCGTGCCTGTCACAGAGATAACAGAGTAACATCACTGAGAATAAAACACAGAGTGAGCAGAATTAGAATATTCAAGACAGCCTTGAGTGCACAAGAATAAGATCACCTGAGGAAGATAGATTTTTCCTTACCTATATAAGATCCAAGCTTGTATGTGTATGGCAGAATTTAGGTTTAATGTATAATTAATAGTGTTACTTTGAAGTCTAATCCTGAAGATAATCTTTAGGGATTGGGAGGACTATGAGCAATTCAGCATCACTGTAAAGCAGACATGTGTGAGAAGGGGAGCAGCATGAGGAGATAAAATCCAGTAGTAGAGAATACCTTCTACCTGTCTCCACCACCCAGATTCAGGCTACATCACAGGAAACACAGACAGGTGATCTATGGGTAATTCATCTGTGTTTCTTTTGTTTGGCCAAACTGTTTAATTCAGGAGATAATATTACAGCAGATGAAAGCAATTAGGAAACTCAGTATCAAGATATTTAACATCTAGATTGATCAAATAAAATAGGGATGGCCGGGCAGGCAATGTATTGCAGCTAGGTGAGAAAGCGATCAAAACATGGTAAAATTTTAAATTCGGTTTACATTCAGAGAGCTATTCGAGTCTTAAACCAATGTCCTCAACTTAAAGAAAGGCAATTACAGAGGTATTAAGAAAGAGTTGTTGAAAGTAGGCTGGGAAAGTGGACTTAGGGGAAGGTCAGTAGATGAGAAGTGGCGGGTATTTGAGCAGTTATTTCGTAATGCTCAGCAAATATTTAATCCAGTAAAAAAGAAGCACTTTCAATGAGAAGTACTAACTCCCTGTGGTTAACATAGATGGTCAAGGAGAGTGTCCAATCAAAAACTAAGGCATATAAAGTAGGAAAAACTGTTGGTAGGCCAGAGGATTGGGATCATTTTAGGAACTACCAGTGGATGAATAAAGCTCTAACAAGAAAAAGGGAACAAAATTGATTATGAAGTACATTGGCAAGAAATGTAAGGCAGAAAGAACTTCTATGCATATATTTAAGGAAAGAGTATGCAGCTGAAGTGAGTATAGGATGGAGGATGCAATTGGGGAATTGATAACATAAACAGGAAAATGGAAAATGAATTAAACCAATATTTTGCATCAGTCTTTATGGTGGAAGACACTATAAAACACCCCAACGATAACAGATAAGCAAGGTGCTCATGGGACGAAAAATCTTGTAACATACTGTATCATGAGGTACAACGTATCTATCAATCTAATACGAATGGAGGTAGACAAGTTGCCAGGACCCAATGGCTTGCATCCAAGGATTTTAAAGGAAGTGGCTGCAGAGATGGTGGAGGCATTGGCCAAAATATTTCAAAATT